TCTGACTGCCATGATTATCATGCAGTTTAGTCATATTTGGGTGTGCAATTTGTTGATGTTTTCCCTAATGAGTTTTAATGAGAAATGCAAAATTTTGGAAGAAGTGTACAAGACTTTCTCTTTATCTTAATCGTAATTTAGCAACAGCATCAGTATGACTTATTTACTTTTAGTCCAGTGTTTCATCATACCCAGAAAATGTACTGCACTGAAGTACAAATGTTGGCATAGTGATATCAGAATTAATGTGAGCACCACTAAAAGCCATTGTTTCTGTCTCAGGTTATTTCAGTTTTTCAGAACATACAAGGACCAATCACATAGAGCAGATCCAGTCCCCTGGCTTCCCAAACAAACCTTACCCCCCCAACACCTTCATCCAGTGGCAGCTGAGAGCAGACCCCGGCTATGTCATCAAACTTGAATTTGATACAATGAATCTGGAAGAGGTATGCAAGAATGACTTTGTCAAAATCTACGACTCCTTGGTGGCCATTGAGACCCGCGTTATGGAAGAGTGAGTTTTCCTTTTGTCTCATTAAAATACAGCTTCACACAGACAAACAACTTGCCTGCCTTCTTCCCTCTTATTTTCCTGCAGTGGCACACAGTACATGTTTTTAGATTTGGATTGAAAGGAACATACTGTATCTTGTATGTACGGCCCTCTGCTGGTCAGATGGGCCCTTTACATTACCTGAGTAATGCCTCATGCCAGAATGTTACCTCTTTTAATATGACAGTTAAATCTGGGAGCAGTTCAGATGAAAAGCTGAGAATGTGATTGCTTTTTCCAAAGTGCAAAAACAACATGCAACAACCAGGACTTTTACAGGCAGAACATGTGTGCATGGTAAAATCATTAGTGGCATTCTTGCAGGGGAGTAATAAAAACGTCTCAGTGATACACTGTATAAGCGATCTAGATTGACTCTACATATACCGTTTTCTTAGTGGATGAGGAAATTCTTTTCATCTTTTAAAGGTCCAGTGTGTAGGATTTAGGGGAATATATTGACAGGAATGGAATATAGTATGATAAGTATGTTTTCTTTAGTATTTAAAGCTATAGTGCGTAACTTCTACAGGTCCGTAAATGTCCGTTTCACCCAAGCCACTACTAGAGGAGATGACACAATGCTGATTAAGCCGATCGGCTCCTCTAACATCTTGCGGTATTTTTCAATATAAATCATTTTTAGTATGCGTTTCGACCGGCGACATTCCCGCGCTAGCGCACAGGAAATGCTTCCTCACAACAAGAAGGGAGGGGGAGGACGAGCGGAGAGTGTCATAGCAAGAGGTAGAGCGCAGGTAGAAAGAAAAAGTAACATGGCGGAGAAGCGGCCGAGACACAGTTCAGAAGTGGATCCTACCACAAAGGCAAGTGTTACTCTGTTTACGGTGTGTGGCGACTGGCGAGTGTTACTCTGTGTACATGGAAGTGCCGCCAGATTATTAGTTGTAATAACGCATTATCCGCTGGGAGGCGACAGAAGTTACGCACTATAGCTTTAATCACCTGAAAATAGCACTTGCAGTGTTTTTATTGCCTTAGAATGAGCCATTTATATTTACATAAGGAGCAGGACCTCGTTGACAGAGTATGCTGCACCGCCATGTTTCTACAGTAGCTCAGAACAGACAAAGCAACAGACAGATCTCTAGATAGGGCCATTTGCATCCGACGTGCTGAACAGCGTTGCAGGAACACTGATTTGTAGCGTAAAACTGCTTTATCAAGATTTTTATTCCAGTTTTAATCACCTGGTCTGTTTGTTTTGGAGAGGAAGAGACCTCTGCAGATTAATTGGCTTCCAGTAGAAACCTCCTGAACAGTAAACACTGAAGGAATTCTATCTGGGAGATGTTTCTGTCTGTTGCATTCTGCAATCCTCACTGCTAGATGCCTCTGAATCCCCCTGAATCTTACACACTGCTCCTTTAATATACGATTAAACTCAATCCATGTCCAAGGAACCAGGCTTATAAGACTGTAATATGATGTATTTTGTTTGTGCCAAAGGTAAAAATCAAGGTTCAATGAGAATTTTAATTCTTAAGTAGAGGGGAAAAATCTCAGAAAGACCATTTTGCACATAAGTGTTTCCATTGAAGTCTGATCCCAAAAAAAAGATGTTTTAGAATCAACTCAAGCCAATCAGTAAGTGATTTTACAGCGAACATGTAATTTAAACAAAACTGCAGTATAATTATCACATCAGTGAATAATACATATAGGAAATTTATGTTGTCTGTGTTTTTTTCTCTACAGGATGTGTGGATACTACTCACCTAGTGAGCCACTGACATTTCTGTCATCTGGCAATGTCATGCTGGTGATGATGGCCTCAAATGACAAGAAGAACTACCCTGGTTTTAGAGCAACAGTCTCACAAGTCCGACGTGGAAGTAAAGGTAGGGACTAATGTCTGGGTGGTTGAAGCTTATGTAGGTCTCTTTGTTATGAGCTGCACTATAAATGTTAAATATTTGTGCAAACACTGACACTTACATTTTTTAACAGGAACAACATGTGGTGGCCAGTTAACAGGTGAAAAAGGCAGCTTCTCTTCTCCCAACTTCCCAAATTATTATCCTCCTCGAACTTCATGCCAGTGGACAATCCAGGTGAGACGTCGACAATTGATCCACACAGCCATATCATAAGTTTCGAACAGGTTTCTGTTCTATTTTGTTCTTCAGAAGGTCACGTCACCTTGTCAATTGGTTTTTACTCGTCTCTGTCTGTCATTAAGGTCCCTGATGGTAAAGCTGTGAAGGTGACATTCAGAAAGTTCCTCATGACTGAGCACGGGCAGGAAAACAGTAAAGACTGTCGCAAAGACTACGTGGAGGTCAATGGAAAGAAGTGAGTCTTTGATTATATGTCTACATTGGAATTATGTAACAGAGCAGAAATTACAGTGCTTGTGTGTTTCATTGTCAGACTGTGTGGAGACAAGCCTGATGGAACAGTGACAGAAACCAGCAGCACCAACAAAATGAGTGTGGTGTTTTTCTCCGATGACTCCTATGTGGACCGAGGTTTTAATGCAACATATGAGGCCATTGACGTTAAAGACCGTAAGTGATTTAGTTTCTCACTGATAATGATAAGTTCTTTACATTAGGCAAGTGTATCTGACCGTAACCCTTTCATCCACAGCTTGTCCAAAGCAGTTCCAATGCAAAAATCAGCAGTGCATTAACAAAGACCTCAGGTGTGATGGCTGGAATGACTGTGGAGACATGAGTGATGAATTAAACTGCAGTAAGTGCTGTTTACTCAGATTATACTCAGAAGGAGTAGTCAAAATCAGTAGTCTTAATTCCTCTCTACAGTGGTGGTACACAAAATGATTTTAACTGTATTTTCCATCCAGAGTGCAATTCAAAGGACATCACCTGTAAAAATGGGTTGTGTAAGCCCATGTTCTGGAAATGTGATGGTGTAGATGACTGTGGAGACCGCACAGATGAGTTGAACTGTGGTAAGACCTGTTAACACTTATGGATGGATTCTACATGACCACTGAAAGGCCTTCAATCTTTCCAGTTTTCTTATGCCTGTCTGTTTTGTTTTCTAAGGTGGATGCAAATCTGGACAAATAACGTGTAAGAATAATAAATGTGTTTCCGAAAAAAATCGCTGTGACGGCACGGACGACTGTGGGGATGGGTCAGATGAGCTTGAATGTGGAAGAAGTAAGAATTGTTTCCTAAATCACAAAAATGTCACTGAATGTACTATATATCTTATTAAAATGTCTTTTTTTTTTTTTTTTTTTCAAAATATGAGATATGATTCGCTACTTTATGTGCTGACTTATTGAGCTATTTATTGAATTCTTTTCCATAATTGTTTCCAGCAGATTTACTCTTTAGCCATAACATCTTTAAAAGGTGATACAATGTCAGAGATGTGTGAATATTTTTTTGTCTTATTCTGGAGTTCTTTAGCCCACAAGCAGTTAAAAAAAAAACATTTTTCCAAACAACTTAAAGGTATGCTATGCAGGATTGTGGGGTTAATGCTTGTAAACATGCTCACCGGCAAAAGTGAAAATAAAAGCCAACCACAGATCCACTCTCATTTGGGATTTCACCTTGGAAATTTGCAAATCCTAGGACAGCGAAGGAATGGCCCACCCTACTTTCCCTATGACTGGCAAGTATTCATTTCCTTCATAGGATGGATTGGTTAAGTTTAGGACAGAGGAGTGGGATTGGTTTGGGTTTGGGTAAGAATGTAGGGTAAGCTTATGAGAGGCAGAGTAAGGCAAGCTATTCCGTCGCTATCCTAGGATTTGCAAATTCACTTTCACCTCACTATATTTGCATTTTTTTTGGCACCAAAGCACCTCTTGGGTACATGCTGATGAATGACCCAAACACAGAAATGGGAAAATACTGGCAGAGGGCAGAGTCTCTGCAGAAAAATACACCACCACATACTTGTAGTGGGTCATGAATTATGACCAAGAGGGATTACTCCTGTGTGAGTCTATACATTGTTTTCTAGGAATATCCTGCATACTATATCTTGTAACTGCTGTGCAAATGTAAAGTTCCCTTCTGTACATGTGTTACAAACACATTTCTAATGAACACGTAATTGATGACTGAAGGAATTCATAGTTTGAATTTTTATTGTTCTTTCTTCCCTCTCTGTAGGCACTGATGCAAGATGCACTGATCTTACATATAGATGTAAAAACAATAAATGCATCAGTAAAGTGAACCCAGAATGTGACGGGACACAGGACTGTGAAGATGGATCTGATGAGGAGAATTGCGGTATGTCACAATCAAAACCTCAGTGGGTATATGTACTTTGTCTCAGATTTTAAAACCAGTAATTATTGCCATCTGCATTGTTTAGCTTGCATCAAAAAACAGATGTGAACTTCCACCCACTCCAGGCACGAAAGCAAGCTGCAACAAGTCAGCCCTGTGACTGATTGATTTTGTTACTTTGCAGATTGCGGGAGGAGTATGTTCAAGACGTCACGTATCGTGGGCGGTCAGGATGCAGAAGCAGGGGAGTTTCCCTGGCAGGTCAGCCTCCATGTGAAAGGTTTTGGCCACGTGTGCGGAGCGTCCATCATCGATCGACGCTGGCTGGTTACTGCTGCCCACTGTGTGCAAGATGACGGCAGAACAAGGTAGCATTTTACTTAATGCTGTATGTTCTCACTGGCAAATATAAATCTTTACTTTTCTGCATGGTTTGAATAAATTAGGGCTTATACTTGCAGATCTCTCAGAATGGTGATCATTCACTTTTCATATTGCAGATATTAAGCAGATGCTCCTCTGCAAAAGAAAATGAAATGAGTGCAACAATGAAATAACAAGAAGTCCCCTACAGTATCAGTGGATTTTTTACCTAACCACACAACAGTAGAGCCATCTTTACATAAATAAAAGTTCTCTCCAAATCCTGCAAAATAAATATGTCATCCTTCTTCAAGACCTTGAATAGTCTTGAATACAGTTAAATAGAGTGTGAACACAAAAACAGGGGCTGTTACACTTTATAGATTTTCTGAAAGGCCGCAAGTGCTTCTTAAATTCTTTGGGTCATTGGGACAAAATAACTTGAGTTTAAATATTCTGCAAACAATTTGTCACATGCATAGTGAAACCTTAGACCTCTGTGTTCATTCAACACAATGCTTGAATGTGTGCGTGAATAATTTAACATGCATGAACCCTTTCCAGGCCCTCAGTGCAACTTTTAGATGCATGTTTACACCATGCTTCTCTTTATAACAGTAAGCTCCGTTTAGAGCCATCACAATAACATCTTGATATTGAAGGTCTTTAAACAATGCATATTCTGCTGAAGATTGATATTCATGCAATGGCTCAGTGGGATCAAAACAATGATAATTGCCTTTAATAAATTCCTTTAAAAACTCAGTTCACTTTGGATGCCATCTGAGTTAAAACATTCTCTTCTACACTCGCTGCTCTTTGAAATTTAAGCATTTTTCAAACATTTTTCCCATGCTTTTGTGTCTAAATGATAATGGGAGCAACTATTTTTTAAATTTGTCCAATATTGAGAGAGAGGGCTGCAGCCACAGAACACCCACAATATAACCAGATGGGACAATCATGCACTGTCACTTTGCATCCATTAAAAGTGGTTATTTTTGCCACAGACAAGCTCAAATTGTTATTGTGTGTGTCTGCGGTGTCTCTCTACCTTTCAGTTGATCGGCTGCAGCCCTCTCTCTCTCAATTCTGGACCCATTTCAAAAATTTTTGTTTACATCAGTCACTCAGACATAAAAGCATAGGAAATAGGGTCCATGTTGAAAAATGGCAAAGTTGCCCTTTAACTAATGATTAACAAGGTCTGAACAGCTAGGCCTAACTAATGGGTTTTTCATTAATATTTTCTGATGTGATTTTTGTGCCACGTGATGTGGCTATTAATCATCCTAGATTAAGAATGAACTTTGCGATCTGTTTTGGTGTGCGTCCTCAGATTCTCCCAGCCCGGCACTTGGGAAGCTAACCTCGGCATGCATAGCCAGCAGCAGACTGGAAATCCCGTGGTGAAGAGGAACTTGAAGCAGATCATACCCCACCCTAACTACAATGACTTCACCTTTGACAATGACATTGCCCTGATGGAGCTGGACAGTCCTGTCACCTACTCTGATTACATCAAGCCCATCTGCTTGCCGGCTCCCCAACACGATTTTCCAAGTGGGAGCACTGTGTGGATCACTGGATGGGGTGCCACTCGAGAAGGAGGTGAGTCCGCACAAATAATAAGCCTTGTATTTCTCATTTTCGTCAAGAGCCACTAGTAAAGAACTATCAGTCAGTCATAGTTTCTTGTTTGTGAGTTTTTAATTGGATGTAATATTGGTGTTAGAGCTGCAACAATTAATCAATTATTCTCTTCGCTGTCAAATTTTAAAATAATCGCCAACTAATTTGATGATCAAGTATTCAGCTTGAGCAATTTTTTAAGAAAAAAGTCAAAGTTCTCCAATATTAGCTTCTTAAATTAGAATATTTTCTAGTTTCTTTACTCATTTATGACAGTAAACTGATTATCTTTGGGTTGTAGACAAAACAAGACATTTGAGCGCATCATCTTTGGCTTTGAGAAAAACTGATTAACATTTTTCACTATTTTCTTACATTTTATAGACCAAACGACTAATTGATTAATCAAGAGATGAATCGACAATTAAAATGATCAGTAGTTGCAGCCCTAATTGGTAGTTGGTAGTAGTAGTAGTCAATGCTGATTCAAATTTGACTGAATAAAGAAAATCATCAGATTATCTCTGAAAAATATTTTTAGGCTCTGAATAAATGTTTTTAATTGTAATATACATTATAATTGGGTGGTTAATTCAAATATGCATTTGGTTTGTTTTGGTTTAGTGTTAATTTTGTTTGATGATTCTCTGATATATACTGGGTTTTCATAATTTGTTAAAATATTTTCATTGTAGTAGCTCTATATTTGCCTACAAATAGATGTCATGTAGTATGTACGTTAATACACACCAAACCTTTTTACTGAGGACCTGCCATTAGAAACAATAACTGCCTGCCATTACCGGAAGCTCGATCACTGGGAAAGCCCCAACCTAATGACATGACATTTAGACCAAGCGTGATGGTATACTCCTGTGTGTGTTTGCGCTTCAGGATTTGCTGCAAAAGTGCTCCAAAAGGCCCAGGTCCGAATCATCAACCACACAGTGTGTAATGATTTGATGGGAGGGCAAATCACATCTCGGATGATGTGTGCTGGAGTGCTGAGCGGAGGAGTCGATGCTTGTCAGGTAATAAAAAGCCCATGCTGCCCTGCTTTCTCTCTTTCTGTTCCTCTTTGAAGGACAGCTTTCTCCAAGGAGGATTCACAAAACAAAGGGATGTGAATATTTTGAACAGTATGCAAAGTTGACAATTATCCATAAATTCAACTGTTGTCAATTATACTGTGGTGATGAAAGTGTAAGGCTTGCTCAGTTATATAGAGTAGAATATCACCCAGACCAGTTGCTTAGTATCCTTGTTTTCTAAAGAAGCATAATGCTTTCACTTGAGCAAAAAAATCTGCTTTGTTCTTCTCAATCATTTTGACTATTATCTCAGAAATTTGAGATAACTTTTCATTGACAAAAATCTACTTTTGTTTTTCTGAATTAATCAGAACAATCTCATGAGAATTCACAATGTTCTTACCTTGTTTAAAAAAAAGAGCAGTGTGTCTTTCAATTTTTCACAGAGTGCATTACGCTGTTTTTTTATTATGATTTTATTTTGCATTGCCTCACAGTTTAAATGATCACATGGCCATGGACTTTAGAAAAACTCATTTCCAATGGAAAAATTAGAAAGGGACGGTGAAGGAGGAAAAGGTGAAGAAAGGGCAGAGAGAAAGGAAAATTCCCCACACAGTTCCCATGTCGTAACTTAAGGTACATGTCTATTTGTCTCCGTTAGGGTGACTCTGGCGGCCCTCTGTCCAGTCCATCTACAAGTGGTATGTTCCTGGCAGGAGTGGTCAGTTGGGGTGATGGCTGTGCCCGCAGAAACAAACCTGGCATCTACACAACAGTCACCAAATACCGTGGCTGGATCAAAGAGAAGACAGGAGTGTAGACGACTGCAGAATAGTCGGACTCAGGCCCTATTGACATTAACACAGATTGATGACCATTTTTTGCTTTGCCACTCTGACTTTTCAGCTGAAGTAGTGGCCTTGACTCCCAGTCGCAGCTGCAGTGGAAAATGCACTGTTTGCTTGAAGAGCAATTTCAACACATTTTATGTCTACTGTGATTTTTATGAGGGTGGGGTTGATGAAATGTTTTTAAATGTAAATAAATGTTTTATTTTTGTGTTTTTTTGCTGTTGTTTTAGTGTATTTTGATGGAGAACAATGTTATGTGCTGCGCACGAAATAGATTTTAGGTGTGATCGTTACACATGTACATAAATGGAAATTGTACTCTGTGTTGTCCTGTGTTTTATCAGTATATGTAATTATTTCCCACCATGTTTTGTTGTTGTCTTTGTTCTAAATTTTATAAATTTAAAACAAAATGACAGTACGCTCATTCCACCTTACCTCCTATGGCTTGGTATCTTACAAATTATATCATTTATTTTTACTCCAGCAGAAATCCCTGCGAAGTTAATAATATGAATGTTGACTAGCATTAGCCTTGTTATCATGCACAGCATTTCATTTTAACAGCTGTAAACTGCTTTTCTATCAGCATAAAAAACAGCATATTATAGTAGGTTTTGTTTGAGTTCCATCTCTCATGTTTAATACAATGTTATGACCTCTATTTCATTCAGCACAAAATCAGTACTCATGACAGTTCAGTCCATCGCAAATCTGTAAATGTGTGTTTTATAGCAGATGTTTTTAAATAAAATATGTCTAATATAACCATCTTTGCATTTGTGTTATCATTCTCTGACATGCAGTTCATCTATGATTTTTGAATTACTTTATGACAACCATATTGGTTATCCTTTGCAACTAATTTAAACTGAGCTCAGATTTGAATTGATTTGTTCACTGTGCAATATTTTCATTTAGTCTTTACTTCAACAGGATGTTTATGGGTATTACAAGATAGATAATGATGGGGGTGTCAGAAAGAAATGCTCATTCTGGTCCAGATTCAAATTATAATTTATGCTGTTTTTATTTTTGCTTTTCATATGTGTCTCCATTGTTTTCTGTTAAGTGTCATTAAAAGAAGTTTTTATGTGTGGCAAATGTGAGGGGTAAAAAATACGGTGTGTCATCTGAAAAGGCCAGTCGCTTGAATAAATGTTTTTTAATGCAACATTCTTTCATTTCCACAGTAAAACATTAAAAAACAAACCGATTTAATTCACCCCGGAACAAATAACAAACGAATATACCCTTGCCCTTTTCCGGAAGATATTTAATAACGGAGCGGATACGGTCCCACCATATTATTGTTCCCCCGGTCTTCGCAGCAGTTGAAGCTTTATTTGCCCAGTTTTTATTCATTAGTTAATCTTTTCTTACAGTCGTAACATATTATTTTCCAATAATCTCAGATGTAGCCATTTAAAGCAATGTAAAAAACTGATGCTCGGCCTGTCTCAGAAACATGGATTTAAAAAATAGAGTTTAAAATAGATGGGACCTTTTTAGCTAAAATTTAGTCTTTCCAAATTAGAGGCAACATGTTTATCAAACAGCTGCGTGTTTGCAAAGCCGTAAACCTATGGATTTGATTCATTATTAGAGAATAACTTGGTGGTGAAGGCGCGTAGCGTAACTTACAGTAAAAATGGATTCAGACCAGAGGAGAGACAGCCGCAGTTGGGACTGGGACAGCCCGCAGTGCCGAGCCCAGCTGGACGAGGTCTTTTTCCGCCCGCATGACTACATCCAGGCCGGCAGCCCGGAGCACAAAGAGTTTTGGGCTTTCTTTGACCGCTTCCAGAGGTTCAAAACAAAGAGGGACATGTCTGGCTCAGGAGCAAAACAGGACAGAGAAGAGGGTAAAGACAAGAGAAAGACTGGCACTGGAAAGGTAGACCTTGGCCTTCCTAAAGAGTATGATGCTCGTTACCGGATTAATGTATCTGTTTGCACCAGAGATGTCGAGGAGCGCCTCGGGAAGTCAGAGCACAGAGGCAGGCAGAGATCGTCGGGTCCAGGCAGCCAGGAGATCTCAGACTGCCGCCTGGCTCTCCTGCATTTCCTGGACTTCAGCCAGAGGCAGAGTTTTGGAAAGCTGGCCAAGCTTCGCCGGGAGCAAAAGAACCTGCCCATCTTCCAGTATCGGGACAGGATAGTGGAGCTGGTGCGGCGTCACCCTGTGGTTGTGGTGGCAGGGGACACAGGCTGCGGAAAATCCACACAAGTACCTCAGTATCTTCTGTCAGCTGGCTTCAGCCACATAGCCTGCACTCAGCCTCGACGTATTGCCTGTATATCCCTCGCAAAGAGGGTCAGCTTTGAGAGTCTCAATCAGTACGGCTCAAAGGTTTGTCACGGAAGATCAAACACAGCTTCTTACATTTGTTGAAGCACCATCAATTCAATTTCAATCAATTTTATTTATAAAGCCCAATATCACAAATCACAATTTGCCTCACAGGGCTTTACAGCATACGACATCCCTCTGTCCTTAAGACCCTCACAGCGGATAAGGAAAAACTCCCCAAAAAAAAACCCTTTAACGGGGAAAAAAAAAAACGGTAGAAACCTCAGGAAGAGCAACTGAGGAGGGATCCCTCTTCCAGGACGGACAGACGTGCAATAGATGTCGTACAGAACAGATCAGCATAATAAATTAACAGTAATCCATATGACACAATGAGACAGAGAGAGAGAGAGATGCAGGTAATGACAGTAGCTTACAACAACATTAATGAAAGTAATAATATTATAGTTATAGTTCTGGCTACTGTGGTACAATATGTTGAAAGTATGTATTAATATCAGACAGTATACTTGTGTGACAATAGTCATATGTGTATAATAACAGTAGAAGTATGACTAATGACTAATGATGGCAGCAGCAGCAGGAGGCATCTGGCAGGACCACGGCAGCAGCACAACCACACACGTCACACTGTCCAGGCACCGCTGCGGTATGAGTTATTCTGAGAGACAGTGGAGCACAAAGGCTCCGGAGAAGAAGCCGAGTTAGTGACATCCAGAATGGCCGAGTTAGCAAGATGCAGTAATAGGATGAGAGTGAGAGAGAGAGAGAGAGAGAGAGAGAGGGAGAGAGAGAGAGGGAGCCCGGTGTATTATAGGGGGTCCTCCGGCAGACTAGGCCTAAGTCAGCCTAACTAGGGGCTGGTACAGGGCAAGCCTGAGCCAGCCCTAACTATAAGCTTTATCAAAGAGGAAAGTCTTAAGTCTAGTCTTAAATGTGGAGACGGTGTCTGCCTCCCGGACCGTAACAGGAAGATGATTCCACAGGAGAGGAGCCTGATAGCTGAAGGCTCTGGCTCCTGATCTGCTTTTGGAGACTTTAGGGACCACGAGTAACCCTGCGTTCTCAGAGCGCAGTGTTCTGGTGGGATAATATGGCACTATGAGCTCTCTAAGATATGACGGAGCTTGACCATTTAGAGCTTTATAAGTTAACAGTAGGATTTTAAATTCAATTCTGGATTTTACAGGGAGCCAGTGCAGAGAAGCTAAAACAGGAGAAATATGATCTCGTTTCTTAGTTCCTGTTAGTACACGTGCTGCTGCATTCTGAATTAGCTGGAGAGTTTTTAAGGACTTACTAGAGCTACCTGATAATAGAGAGTTACAGTAATCCAGCCTTGAGGTAACAAAAGCGTGGACCAATTTTTCTGCAAATAGCCATATAGCCCATAGATTTTTGTTTTGTATTTGTTGACTTGTCTATGAACATTCAATTAACACACAAGACCTCCAGAAGTAATTAGTCAAAGGCAAATGTACTTGAGGGAGTTTTTCTTAGTAAAAAGTAATTGAATACATTTACTTAAATACTGTGCTGAAGTACTGTTTTGAGGTACGTGCACTTTTCTTGAGTGTATCAATTTTCAGCTACTTTATACTTATACCCTGCTACACTTTAGGGAGAAATATTGTACTTTTTACTTCACTACATCAATTTACCTGCACTTTTCAGATTCAGATTAATAATACAAAACACAAGCAACACATATATTGTATTATTATCAGATTCAATAAGAATCAAATAGGTAACGTGCGTATACTAATAGCAAATAAATATTGTTATTTGAAGATTTAGTCAAATATATTCTCTTAATTTGTTTGCTATGATTGTAAATATATAAAGTACATATTTGTATACATTTGAGCTAATGAAATGCTGTCATGTTTTGTAGGTAGGTTACCAGATCCGCTTTGAGACCACCCGGACGCTGGCCACCAAACTGCTGTTCCTGACTGAGGGGCTGCTGCTCCGACAGATCCAACAGGACACGACGCTGGCTCAGTATCAGGTGCTGATCGTTGATGAGGTCCATGAGCGACATCTTCACTGTGACTTTCTTCTTGGGGTCCTGCGTTCTCTGCTGGCCGACAACCCACACCTGCGTCTCATTCTCATGTCAGCCACAATCAACATCAAGCTTTTCTCTGACTATTTCAATAGCGCTCCTGTGCTGCAGGTGCCAGGCAGGTTGTTTCCTATACAGGTAAGCAGAGGATGGCAGTGATCACAAATGTAAATATACATCTCACTCATCAGAATCAGTTATCTGGGGTTTGATATAGGCATGCTCGAAGACAAATGCACTGGAAGTGTCCAGACCTTTACTTGAGTGGGATACACATTTGAAGCTTTAAATCAAGAAAAAGCAACATTTACAGTTTCTTCCGGGTTTGAGAATTTGTCAGATATTTTCTCTTAAATTGCATCTAACTTTTTTGTCTCTGTTTTCTGTGCTAAGGTGATATACCAGCCCATTCCACCCGAGGAGCAGTCCTCACGTTCAGAGAAGATGGATCCCAGACCATATCTGCGCATCCTGCAGGGCATCAATCAACGCTACCCTCCAGAGGAACGCGGCGACCTGCTCATCTTCCTTAGTGGTGTGGCAGAAATCTCCACCATCCAGGAGGCCTGTCAAATTTATGCCACACATACACGTCGCTGGATTGTCTTACCGCTGCACAGCACCCTCTCACTGGCCCAGCAGGATAAGGCACAGTCAGCTTTGTTTGGATTACAGTGGACATACGATATTTGAATCTGATATGTTAGCTGTGGTTTATTGGTTCTAATTATCTCTCATCATATTATTCATCAGGTGTTTGACATTGCTCCTCCAGGGGTGAGAAAGTGCATCATCTCAACCAATATTGCTGAGACCTCAGTTACAATAGATGGAGTGCGCTTTGTTGTAGACTCAGGTATGAAACTAGTAGTACACTTGTAACAGGGGATTAACTAAAATTTGTTTAACTAACCAATGAGCCCATCCTAACAAACCTAATTTTGTGCTGCCAAGCTTTGCTCAAAATCTCTGAATTTTAAATCTAGTGAGGATCCTAAAGGTTCAAAAGTAATTAAACCCATCATGCTGGATTTTGGGGGAATACATTTTTTTCTAACTTTAAAGAAATTTAGATAGGATAAAAGGGCAAAGAGGTAGACTAACAACCATATAAATTGATTGTTTTGTACTTTATTCTTTTACAGGGAAGGTAAAGGAAATGAGTTTTGATCCTAAGGCCAAGATGCAACGTCTGCAGGAGTTCTGGATCAGCCGAGCCAGCTCTGAGCAGAGGAAAGGTCGAGCCGGTCGTACAGGTCCAGGAGTGTGTTACCGCCTGTACGCTGAGTCTGACTACGATGCTTTCGCACCTTATCCTGTGCCTGAAATCCACAGAGTTGCTCTGGACTCCCTTATTCTTCAGGTAACAACATCCCATAGAAAGCAGGATATCAATTCTTCTTTTTAATTCTTCAAATTCCATTGTTAAATTCTAGCTTTATTCATGGCGTTTTTTTCCTGCAGATGAAGAGCATGTGTCTTGGAGATCCACTTTCTTTTGTCTTCATTGATCCACCTCCAGCTGCTAGTATCCAGACTGCAGTCACTTATCTGAAAGAGCAGGGGGCGTTAGACAGTCGTGCTGAACTGACCTCCATTGGTAGTTTGCTGGCACAGTTGCCAGTGGATGTGGTCATAGGTAAGATTCCCAACACCAGAGTCACATTGTGTATTGTAGTTTTCTTTTTTTGTTTGTCTTTTATGCATTTTTTTTATCTTATCATGTTTTCATGAAGCTGACAGCAGCAAGCAATGTGGTGGTAAATTGTTGGAAAAGTTTAAATAGCATACCAGTAATTTCAGACTTGGTTTCACTTTAAGTAATTATTTACAGTATCACATTTAATTTAGCAATGACACACTGGACTTTAAAAGTCACATACACATACAGTATGACCTGGATTTAGCTAAGCGTGTGTGTGTGTGTGTGTGTGTGTGTGTGTGTGTGTGTGTGTGTGTGTGTGTGTGTTCTTTCAGGGAAGATGCTGGTGCTGGGCTGTTTGTTTAACCTGGTGGAGCCTGTATTGACAGTGGCAGCAGCCCTTAGTGTTCAATCACCTTTCCTGCGCAGCTCACAGCACAACCCAGACTGTGCCACTGCCCGCCAGCCCCTGCACAGCAACCATGGAGACCCCTTTACCTTACTCAACACCTTCAATGCCTGGGTGGAGGTCAGTAATGGAAACATTATTTGACAATGGCTGTTTGATATGAAATGTTTAGACAGATTTTATATATTATGGACTTCGCTGTACATAAAACAACAGGTGAAGGGAGAGAGAGGTGGTGGCTCAAGGAAATGGTGCAGGAGGAGAGGCCTGGAGGAGCAGCGACTATATGAGATGGTCAACCTACGCAGACAGTTCAAGGCACGCTACTGACACACAGAAAAAAATAATACGAAAACACTAGCAAGTTTCTGATGTGACACCACTGCTTGACGTGAGCTTTCTCTCTCTAACAGGACTTGCTAAGGAGCCACGGCCTGCTGGAATCAGAGAGTAGCGCTCCCTCTAGTGGTGACCGCGAGAAGCGTAGGGAGAGGCTTACAGAGAGGAGGAAGCTGCATCAGCTGAAGAGAGATCATGAGCAGCAGGAGAGCAGCAGACGTAAAGTCTTGAGGCTGAATGAAGGGCAGGATGGAGAATTCTCCTCAGGATCAGACACAGAGGGGGTCAGTAGAGACAAGAGGGACAAGGGGGGATCAGGACAGAACATGGACATACAGGTGAGCTCAGAGTACAGTGTAACATGGAAGAAGGTTGCCACTAGCAGCCGTAAACCTCAACACCAACTTTTAACACTCAATTTGAAACCCTGTGTGTTTTTGTGCTATTTTGTGGTACACTTATGATTCACTAACCAGAATTAAATAAAAAACGTAATTGATTTGCTTCTTATTTTGACAATCTTTAAATGTTGCAGCTTCAAAGTTTCAGTTAATTGAAGCAGGTTCTGCTTTGTGGGTCATGTTTTTGTCAGATTTTCCCGGTTCGCTTAAACAATTTGCAGAAAGATGTAGAGGGAAGTTTTGTGGGTCCTGGCAACAACAAACTGATAGAACTGACAGGATGTTATCTTTGTATAATAGGAAAAAGGCCAGCACATATGGTTTCAGGGCTGGTCATCTTTACAGAGATGTTTGTGTCTTTTTGTGTATGTTTAAGACAGTTACACACTGAGTGATCTCTCTGTGTGGTGCTGTTTGGTCTGTAACAGGAGGTGAAGTTCAAGTTGCGTCACAATGTGTCAGAGCTGCAGGACGCAGCCAACGTCAGCCAGGACATGTCCTCCCGGCAGCAGGCTTTGATCAAGCTGCTGCTTTGCCGAGGCCTCTTCCCCCAGCTGGCAGTGCCTGATGAACACAACTCCAACCGCAAGGACTCAGACCAGGTCAGGACTCCTGCTGCACCCAAACCAGCTTTTAAGTTTTAATAATAATAATGAAGGGGTAAAACTTGTGTCAGTAAACCAAGTTTTTCACTAGTGATTGAAAGAATGATTAAGGTTGAACTTCCACTTTGTGATTTAACATTGTTTAGGTGTTTCATACAAGGAATAAGCAGGGAGTGGTGATCCACCCAACCAGTGTGTTTGCCAGCGACCCAGAGGTGCTACAAGTGCCGGAGGAAAACACCAGAGAAATGGGTAAACCTCTGGAGTGCTGTGAAAGCCAAAACTTTAAAAGAGTAAACAGTCAAGATAAGACAAAAACAATGAGGCTTATTTCCCATGGGAAAAGAAATTGGACAGCAATGACAACAGCCTGTGCATTACAAGAGATGCACATATGTACATGCAGCAAGTACATGACATGAAATTCACTATTAGTTTGTACAAAACACGCCTTTAAATTACTTTTGGAGGGAAACCTCTCTTATTAGAGACACCTTTACAAGACATTTAAGCTTACAAACAATTCATAATTGATTTTTAAAGCATTTTAAGCGCTGCCTGAATTATTAATTGGCTGCTAACCAAAAATGTGTCTTTCTGGAAGTTACTTTAAAATCTAGAAAAGACAGCATCTGTTATTTATGATGACGTTTCTTAATTTTTTTCTTGGTGTTGCAAAGAAAATATTTCTACCTGCTTGTTCTGTACTTAAAGAACCCAGCCACCATTTTTCTCAGCAGTGGTCTCATTTGTTTGTAGTAAATCAAATATTACGGGAAGTATTGCACTCCAGAATGATACATGTATCTATGCCTGGCCTCTTGATCCACAGATGAAGTCTTTTCGTCCTCATATGTTTCTTCCTTTCACTCTTGCATGTCTCTCATCATGTCTCATTTGTCTCCATTTCCTGCCTGCAGGGCCTGATAGGAGGGACAGCAGCAAACACCAGCTGCTAGCCTTTGTCACTCTGTTGGAGACCAACAAGCCATATTTGTCCAACTGTGTGCGGGTTCCAGCACTGCAAGTTAGTACCAGATGTGGGATGTTCCTGTTCCCACCACAAACTGCTAAATGTTTTGTTTTTCTTAATCCTCTTGGAATTACCCTGATTTAGTTCTGTATTATGTTAAAGTCAAATGACATAGTGAAGGTAAATCTATGCGATCCAGATTTTGGCTTGATGTGATTCCTAAATTGTTCAAGGATTAGGACAAAGAGTCATATGGTGTGATCCATTATCAGTTTGTTTGTTCTGGTATTGCAATATCATAGATCCATCTACGCCAGGTAACACTGTCATAAATTACTCACTTGGGTTGCCTTGAATTTTTAAAGAAAGCTTTGCTTTTCTCGCATGCTTCCTTAATGAACAAAGAACCCAAAGTCGGCAAATATTCCTAGTGAATTGAAGTCTTGAGTTTAACAACAGTAAAACTATATCAAAACATCTGTTTAGAAACTCGCACACAACACAGTATAATCCAAGTCTCATCTATCCAATTGTATGCTGAGCACTTCCCAAACACATGCATTCTTGCTAAAAAAAAAAAAAAAAGTACTGTTTATAACACTTGCACATAAACAGTCTCAAGCACAGATGAGTAGCCCACATTAAAAACTCAGTGGAATGCATGAGCAGATTTCAAACACTGCACTACTGTGCACCACTTGTACGCAAAAGTGTTTTAAATGCTAACGTTTTAGTGAAAATGGATGTTTTGGAAGTACTAAGAATATGGCTGGATAAATGAGATTTGGATAACACTGCACAAGTTGTGTAAGAGTTTGTAAACAGAGGCTTTGATATGGTTTTACTTGTGTTAAACGCAGAAGTCCCTTACTTGAATTCATCAAGATTGTTTGCTATTTATTAATTCTCTGCTCACCATGGAGACATGCAAGAAAAACAGTTTTCTTAGCAAATTCAATCTAACACGGTATTCCTTTAATAAAACATGTATATGAAATGTAAAATCTATAATGTGTCACCCCACCAACTGTATAATATACTGTACCATCATTATTGTGGGCAATATGCAGTATGTTTGTTGTACCATGATCTATTCTATTCCATATTGCCCAGCTCTGGTCCATTTATGCATCATGTAGTAGTATTAAAAGTCCAGTGTGTCAGGTTTAGGGGAATGTATATTTTCAGAAATGGAATATAATATTTATAACTATGTTTTCATTAGTGTATGATCACCTGAAACTAAGAATCAGACCTTTAGTGCTCTGTTTGTCTACGAATGCTCTATAGGCTCTGCTGCTGGTTGCAAATTCCATTGACAGTAATGCTGACTGTACGCGTCTGGTGGTGGATGGCTGGCTGGAGCTGGAGCTGAGGGAGCCGGAGGAGGCCCTGAAGGTGCTGTCCACAGCTCTTACCCTCAGGGCTGAATGGGAGCGCCTCCTGTTGGCCCAGCTGGGACAGAGCACAGTCAAGGGAGCAGCAGTCCAGGGAGTGTCCCGCAAAACCATGGAGAAGCTGAGCGAAGGCCTGGTCCGCTTTCTGCTCTACACTGAGGTACTGATGCAGCGCTGACCTGGTTGTTACAGTATAACACAACCCAAAAACAATATATAGCTCATACACATACTCTTGATGCAAATAATTACTAGTGACTCAGTGACTTAGAAGTTCATTTGCATTTTACAGTCTCATTTAATATCCTCTTTCTGTACTTTCTGTGTGCTTCTTACCTTCCCTCCCAGGTCAGTTACAGCCTACGGCGACTCACAGCTTTCCAGACCCAGAACCTGTACATCGGCCCTCAGTCTGAGTCTGAGCTGTCTCATACCCAAGCTCCATTTGTAAACTCACTGTTTCCAGGAGTCGAGGTCAAGCCGGACCCGATTAAGGGAGGCCTGCGTGTCACCAACTTCTTCAGCTACAACTGTTTGGCTGTGAGTCTGTCTGAAACAGTGGAAATCTAGACAAGCATTCAAGAGCTTTTCCCATAATTCTGTGGAAAATTGTGTATTTGTAAAGGTCACTTCAGGTGAACTGTACATAAAAATGAATTGTCATTATTTTATTTGCATTGCTAAATTTTAAGCCACCCCTACAATCAATTAAAAAACAGCAATTCCATATCTTTCAAGGTTATCTGATGCTAGTGACAACTTGCAATTTCCTCCATATTTACTCTATGTCGGATTCTATGGTTGTATCCATGTAGGAGGCACTTAATTGTTTTCAGGGATCCAGGTGCTGTCACACACAACATAGAGAGCATTTGTTAACTTTTGTATTGTCCCTTCCCACATTATTGATATTGTGACATTGTTTGTCATCTCATCGCAGAAACCATCAGAGTGGTATTTCTTTATATAATTTATATATAAGTCTAAAAGTGTTGAAAAGGGGGTGGGCTAAATGTAACTTAGGTTAGAGCTTGACGTAACCTCAACAACTGAGTGCTCCGACAGAGCAGCTGGAAAACAGCTGTACTGTGGTAATGTGTGATTGTAAAATTAAAAACAGAGGAGTTTAATTCCCTAACAAGAGTATTTTTATAAAAGGTAAATAACAAAATAATGGCTAGCTAGTTCGAGCTGTCTCTTAAATTTCATGCCTCCAAAAGATGTTTTTTTCCCTTGAATTATTCACCTTCCTTTGTTAAACACATCTTACTTAAAATAACCTGATCACCATACTTGACAAAAATGTCATCAATCCTTGTGTTTCCACTGCATGATTAACAGGACTCAAAGGATCTTTACAGTGAGTGTTTACGCACTTTCTGGAGCTGTCCTAACTGTGACCTCTACATGCCTCTGACTCCACTTGAACGCATGCAGCATGAGGCCTCCTGCAGACCAGCAGGAGAACAGCAGCAGCCAGAGGAAGGTCAGGAATTTCTCTTGTTGATATTTATTGTGATGCATCTGTTGGTATTTGATCACTTGAACTCATGCACCAGATGACATATGCAGAAGCTGACTTGACTCATATTAAGAGATGAATAATTTGAGACTAACTGTGGAGTATGTTTTGTGGTTTTCAGAGCCAGAAGGTGGAAAGGCAAGCTCATCCTCAGTGTCCAGTCTCACCAGAGTTTATCACTGTGATGTCTGTGATGAAGACCTGACCCTCACCTCCACTGAGATCCTCAAACACAAAAGACAGCACATGTGTTCTGCTAAGTAACTGATCACAGCATCTAAAGGATGCTACTGTAATTACACCTTGTGCCTGTTCTGTTGAGGGCAGACTTAAGTTTAGAGAATTGAGTTGTTATTACATTTGTGTCACTGTTCTTCATCCCTTTTGTACTTGAGGAACTTTATTAAAGTGCTTCCCTAATGGTCACTGGATGTATTTGCTTTAGCCCTCTGCATAGTTGTGTTTCAAATAGGAGATATCCACATTTGTAAAAATCTACTTATTTGTTCCAACATCTAAACATGTTCAAAGGCTTGAAACAAATGAACACATTCATAGTTGTTTTTCTTTTTCTTTTTTTCCAAATTCCTTTGAAAGCATTGTGGAATAATTATCGAATACAACTTTCATACAGTGTTTTGGAAAAGGCACAGTGAGTTAATGACATGCAGACGTGAGAGAGAAGTAGACACTGATTTAAAATATAGAGTGAGGGTTTAATAATGATACAAACCCACGATATGTAACACCTCAAAGCAGCACATTGGCACAAAGTCAGAAGTAAGACAGCACGGAAGATAAAAACCTGTCTCAAAAAAATAAAGAATCAGAATAAATATCTCAATAAATAAATAAACAGGTAATATCTCATTAATTACTTTGAAACTAATAAATACGTACATTTGAAAATATGCACATTGGCAGAAATCAATAACCCAAAAAGTAAATAGTACTTAACACAGAGTTACTTAGAAATCATAAGTTATTGATTACTCAAATCAAAAGGCACATTTATTAAGATGTAAGAATGGGGCCTGCAATAGTGATCGCATGACTGTCAGTACTGTACTCTAACACCATTTCTGGACCAGAAGTAGCAAACTGTGTGCAATGGCTTTACTAGTTCTGTATATCTGCACCATCAAGTGAACGTGTGTGTCTGTGTGCACGTCTATGCATTGCAGATTTGTGGGGATTGTGTGTGTGCAGGACAAAGGGTTAATTTAGGATCAGGGAATGGCAGTCTAGTGACCGACTGAGTTTGTGTTTCCTGCTATTGTGACAGCATGTCTTTTTTTTTATTTAAGTGGACCAACACTGTTGGCAGGCTGGCCTAGTAGTGAAGATGAGCGTCCCATAACCGAGAAGTCAGGAGTCATGTTCATCAGCAGTTGTATCCCCCGACTCTGAACTCTAAGTACTGCCTGTTCACTCATTTTAAGTCACTTTGGATAAAAGTTCTTGGCTAAACCTAAAATGTAAATAATCTGGTGAAGCTTCTGAAAGGTTCATTCTAACATAATTCAAGGTCTACCAGGTGGTTTCCTTATACAGAGCATATTGTATGTATTCCCGGTGAAAATCCCCCCACAGATTCTCTTACACTGTTAGTATATCATAATTCTGTGCTGCTCAGTGCATTTCATGTGTTATTTTAAGATTATATGCTGTAATTTGTTTTCCAGTGTTCCCATTTTCATTCAACCTGTATAATCAACATTTACCTTGCTTACAGATTTCTTAATTTTTTTTTTGAAAATCTTGAGCTTGTTGCATTCGGTAGTTGTTTCTTCATGTCAGTTAAGAGACCAATAACTAAAGATACAGGGATATAAGAGCCTTAGTTTTTTTTGGTCAACAAAAAAAAATGTGATCTCACTCATCATGTGGCTGCATTGCATTTTGGTCAAGAGGCAAATTTCTGCGGAGTAACTTATTTCTGTGCCCCTTCTATAATATACCTTGCATGATTGTTAAACTCCAGTGTGGAGAGGCTGAACAAAGGGGCCTTGCTCTTTGATTCATTGAATATGTTGACATATCAAAGGTCTAGTGTGTAGGATTTAGTGGCATCTAGTGGTCCGGTTGGAGACTGCAACCATCTGAAACTTCTCCCATGTGCCAAGCAAGAGCTACAGTGGCCGAAGTGAAAACGTGAATGACCCTGTCTCAAGCCAGTGTTTGATTTGGCCCTTTCGGGCTACTGTAGAAACAACATGGCAAACTCCGTGGAAGAGGACCAAGCGGCAACCTCAAGGGCTCAAAATTGAAACCCCTGTGGAGGTGCCACAAATTGCAGTTCTATAAATGGCCACTTGAGGCTGGCTCCAGAAGCCAGTCAATCCCCATACACCCCCATTTTAAAATGCCCAAATTTACAGCGGAAATAAAAATTAATAATGTTTACAGCCTGGAATGAAAAACAGTTTTGGTTTCTGTAGCTAATTTCCCTCTTCATGACAACTGTACAGGGGGTAAAATTTTAAATAACTCACTCGTTTACATTTTATTAAGGCTTACAGTTATGCATAACTAAGGGCTGGCCACTTTGAGTGACAGACAGTGTCCTCAGCTTCTCAGTCAGATTCACCCCTCATTCCCCCACAGCTCCAGCCTCTCATCCAGATATGGTTACTTCTGACTCCAAAAAAACAGCAACAGCCAAAATGCCAGATTCGAGGCCTCAAGACGGGAGTTCACAAACCAGTGGGTAACATTGCGGTAGCTACGTCCACTATTTTACACAGTCTATGACGAGGACCCGCTCTGTATGTAGATATATAAACAGTTTATTCTGAGGTACTGGAAACGCAACGACTCCTAATTTCAGGCAATCAAACTAATTAAAACCTAGTTGTAAATATTATATTTCATTTCTGCCAATATATCCCCCTAAATCCTACACACTGGACCTTAAAGATTTTTGAAAAACCATTCTGTTAACAAAATCTTTTGGAGCTGTGATAGTAATAGCTTTTGCTCTACCCTTGGCCAGTTATTCACTGAAAGTAGAAAAATATACGACCAATCAGCAAAATAGATGCAGTAATGCAAGGTACATCACCAGACGCATTTTTAAAAAATGTCTTGTGGTGAATTTATCTTTAAGCCCAGCTTACAAAAGCCATCCTCACACATGATTTAGCTTCCTCAGCACCTTGAATGGGATAAAAACTTGAGGGATTGTTTGACTCTGCCACACCACCTCATGGATTGCTAAGAGGCAGTGGGAAAGCTTGAATAGGGTTAGGACAGGACTTAAAATAGCAGCTTTTTGACTTCATACATAAAGCAACATTCAGCAAACACATCTGCCACTGTGCCCAAACAAAGATCTACTGCCGTTCATATTTTTCAAGTTAACGCCTCTCTTTTCTTGTCACAGGGTCAACAGTCTACAGCACGCACGTTTAAATGTCACACCTGTGAGCTACGTGCTGCTGCTCAAAGACTGCTCAAACACAATAACACTCAATTCGAACACTTTTTGATTTAGTTTTTCCTAATGTGAATGACTGGTACAAAAATACTCTTTCAATACATTGTTCATTGCACTTAACTTTTTTTTTCTTTTTTTTTTGGTGGCATCTCATTCAAAGGCCTAGACACATCTGCAGATTGGTAAGCGTGGGGTCCCGTTTTGTTTATCTTTGGGGTTGGGACTGTACGGTCGTTGTGTACATTAGGTAGAATAGACTCACTCAGAGGCCTCAGTTGTAAGCACCTTGACTGATTCAACAAGTACAGTGGTGGGATGTGATGTCGTCTATGATTAATATTGAAAATACATGGATTGAAAGATGAAAAAATATGTGTAAAGTGAGGGTGTATAATGGTCGACACATTCTTGATTTACTTTTTTTTTTTTAGAAAACAAAAATAACCTTGTGTTTGGTTACAAAGGACCATAATGAATCACATTATGACTTTTAAGTCTTTGTGGTTGTCATTGCAACTTCCCTTAACATTAATTGTCCCTTTGCATTTGATAACCTTTCTTCCACTGTGGTCTACTACTTTAACCAAAAGACAACACTAGTGGTCTCAGATGCTCATACTTTCTTGAAGACTGCACTCACTCATGCTCACTCTCTCCCCTTCCTCTTTTTCATTTCTTAACCAGGGCTGAGTAACATCTGAGGTAAAAAAAAAATTAGAGGTAAAGGGTGACATCTGCTCATCTGACTGATAAACAGGGCAACATGAAACGAATAACTTCCTCAAGATCTCATGTTTGTGAATACGTGATAGTGTGTGCCACTGGGGGATTCGGTCAATATGTTTTACATTTAGTAAAATATACCAATTAAAATTATAACAATCATATATATAAACATCTTTAGTTTTTTGTGTTTTTCTCTCTAAATAAAAAAACAGACATTTGAAACAGTGTACACATCATCGTTGCCTCTGCCACTCTTCTTGTGATATAGTCTCTGACTGCTAATTCTAGATCAGCCAATCCTCAGTAAATCCACTATGAAGGCTCCAGATGACTCCCACAGAGCCTGGTCTGAGTGTAGTGCACCCTCAGCAGGCAAGGACCAGTGAGGAAGGCCCCGGGTTGAAAAGAGACAGAGCAGAATGCAGTGGAAGGCCGTGGGGTTTTGGAGGGCCACGTCGGAGGTCTGGGTGTACTGAGAGCACTGTTCCACCTGCTAACTCCATCTCTTGCTCTCTCCTCTCAACATCCAAACCTCCTTGGTCCGGGGAACCCCTCCCACCCCCACCCCCTAGCCTGGCCTCATCGGACTGCCTTGTGCTTTCCCCCACAGCAGCCACACCTCTCTCCACACCGCAGGCAGGCGCGCAAAGGCAGGTAGCAGCACATGCAGGGCACGAAGAGCGACAGGGCCAGGAGGGCCAACCAGCGGGCACAGCAAAGGGGGTGCGGGTGGCCCCCCATCGAGTCATCACATGAGCAAGGCTCCCAGAACTCTCCCTCAGAGTCCGACATGCAGTGGTAGAGCAGACTTTCTGCACACCACACACAGGTCCACTGGCGCAGGCAGTGCAGGGCCGGGTCAGGGGCATCTCTGCAGCGGCCCCGCCCATTTTCTGAAGCGCTGAAAACAGAGCGGCAGTACACACAACGTGATGAGCATGACGATGAAGCCTGAGGACATGGGCTGTCGTCGTCGGGGGAGATTACCCCAGGGTCGCCGCCGCTGCTGGCCCCTCCTCCTCTCTTACGAGTCCGCGACCGGGGCGTGGCCAATGAGGTGTGGATGCAGCAGGGAGAGGGCGAGCCTTTGCCTGTCTCCTGGGGTGAGCCGGCACCTGAGGACACGCCTGACACAGCGTTGGGCATGGACATACAGGTGGGTGACGATGAGGACAACCGCTGGGCAGCTTTACTGTCCAAGCTCACTGTCACGTCGCAGCCTGCCGTCCCCACCCCTGCCAGCTCTTTCTCAAAGCGTACCACGCACAGCTCTGACTTGTCCTGCAGACTCCCCCCACCACCGACAACCACACCCCCAGTCAGCCCCCCAACCATAGTCCTGGTGGCCCCTGCCCTTCGGTAGTCCTCATAACCTCGAGAACCCCACAGGTCTTTGCAAGGGTCCACACTGCGCAGGTCTCCCTCCTCGAGCAGAGAAATGGTGGGTGAGAGGGGGGACAGAGGAGATGAGGCTGGGGGACCCACAGGAGGAGTAGGTGGAGCAGGAGGTGGGGGTGGGGGCGCTGGCGGATTCAACACAGCCGTCATTTGTGAGAGCTGGTGCTGTCCCGGCCTGGTGTGGATCTGTGGAGAAGGTATAGAATTACAGAGTGAGTCAGGAACAGTGTGTACTGGGGCAGCAGTTACAGAAGGTTTTCATCTCTAGGATATCTCAAATAGAAGCACAAATGATTAAGAACTCCAATTTAATTAAGATTTCATACTTTTGGATGTCAGCGGGTCATTTTGATTTTACTTTTACTTCATAAAAGAATCAATAAATGTATGTAGAAGTAGACTTATGAGTGGAGACAGAGGGGCAAATTCAGCCAGTCAACCTTCCCTGTTATCTTTTTGTTTGTTTTTGTATTGCTCTAACTTAGAATAACACAAACACCCAAGGAGGTTCCAATATCCCACTTTAAAGGTCCAGTGTGTGGGATTTAGGGGAATGTATTTGCAGAAATGCAATATAACACAATAAATATGTTTTTTTTCTAGTGTATAATCATCTGAAAATAAGAAGTTTTGTTTTTTTCATACACTGCCATGTCACTTTTCTACAGTGGCCCTGAACAGACAAACCAAACACTGGCTCTAGATGGGGCCGTTCATGTTTTTGCATTGGCCACCATAGTTAGCAGCCCCTCCGCAATGAGCTACATCAGAAAAACACTGATTTTTTTTTTTTTTTTAAAACATGAAACTGTTTTATTTAGTGTTTTTAGCAGCTTTAATTGCCAGGTCCTTTTTCTTTTTTTTTTGGAAAGGAAGAGACCTCTGCAGATAATTTGGCCCCAAGTAAAAACCTCCTGAATGTCTGGGTCTTAAGTTATCAGAGAAAGACAGTGAGCACATATTTGCTGGTGCTGGGTTAGTGGCCCATCTCCAGTGTGCCAAACAGTGTGGTAGACAGGTTGATTTTTAAGGCAAAAATGGTTTAGTCAGTGTTTTTACCAACTTCAGCCACCTGGTCCATTATTTTGGAGAGGAAGAGACCTCTGCCGATAATTCAGCTCCTGGAAAAAAACCACCTGAACAATAAACACTAAAGGAATTTTAACCAGGAAAAGTTTCATCTGGTTGCAATTTGCAATCTTTACCACTAGATGCCACGAAATCCCCCTAAATCTTAGACACTGCTCCTCTTGTCACTAATACTGGAGTTGGAGCAGAGTGTGTTGTGTTACCTGAGCAGGTGTCTGAGTGGTGACAGCATGGCTGGATCCAAAACTAAACTCCTCTGGCCGCACAAAACAGGTAGACGAAGACTCGCTCGTCACTATGGTGATGGGTTTGGGAAGCATCTCCTTTCTGCTGTTGGATGACGACTCACTTCCTGTATGGGACTGGCAGAGGCTACATGTCATCCCACAAGTCAAAAACAGCGATAACTGAAATGGGGCCCCTTGGCAGAGCAAACGAGAATTGTTTCAATGAATTGTTAAAGAACAATTGATCAACCGACAAACTGCTCAGATACTCACAGCTTGTCCATCATCCTCTGTGTCAGCCTCTTCTGGTGTGGAGGACGAGGGAGAGTCAGAGCCTTGATGACATGAATAGAGAGGATTTAGGTGTTGCTAGATTCTAGAGGCCAATGGGAACACAACTAATGAAGGACTTTATATGTGACTTGTGTATCTCTACCTCTGTCAAGCTTGTCTATGACAGTCTGCAGCCCTTTCTCAAAGGAGATGGCATCGGCAGGACTCTGGAAAGTAAGGCCAAACTTTCGATCTTCTACTCGCCAGTGATGAAAGATGGGGTTCACCTTGTTGTACACTAACCCCCTTTGCACAGCACACTCCAACACCGGCTAAAGACACAAATCCCAGCAACATGAGAAGTTAGTTCAGCAGCCAAGATGTTTCTTCAAATCATGCCCTCACATATTATGAGCCTACAGTCTTTAGGTGGTGTTGAGGAGCAACGTGGCACCAAAGACAGCACACGCACACACTCACTGCTCGATCTCGCAGCCGCTCTCCATGTATGATGTATTCTCTCCGCCCCCTGCCGTCATGACTCCGCCCTTTACATATGACCACATGACTGAGGCCGCCACCTCCAAGGGGCACCCAACCGCCACTGGAGTCATCACGTGTCATCACCACTGCACGAACACGCACACTGTCAGGGAAGTCAAGAGAGTGAGCAGAGGCCCAGGCTGATTAAACATCACACACACTGACACACACGCATACACAGACAATACCGCAAACAAAAAATGCAGGACTAATTTCAGTGTGAGGCAACTGTTTTCAGCTCTACTGAACTATGATAGCATGATGAAATGCACACAAAGAAGGCACAATTGACAACTGGCCTATATGAATACTGACGTTGCAACATGACAGCTCAAGGGCGTATCTTACAGTTATAGTCAGGGCAGGTTTTTACTAATCTATGATCACGTGATTGAGGTAAATTGATTTTAATTAGCATGTGATGATGGTAAACACGTGAAAAATCACTAAATATTTGGACATGTCTCGTTATTTAAACATTTCTGCTGCTCAGGAGCATTTGAGAATGAAACTGAGTGACCGATATGCGCTGAGAATAGCCTAAAGGAACTGGTGCAAATGGACAGAAAGAAAGCCAGCGTTAAGGAGGAGAGAAATGGCCAAACGGGAGGAGGGAGGAAGAATGAGTGTTTCCCAGATAGATGTATCAATGAACGCACCCATTCGCCATCAGAGGCCCCGGCATTCTTGCAAAAAATAAGCTCTGCCCCCTCGCCAATCGGCTGAATAATTCAGCACCGCAGCTCGACATGTGCATGTAATGCATGCACAGCCGCTGTTATTTTCAAAACACACAAAATTTTAAGTGTTGCAATTATTTTCCCAGACGCTCCTTTTCTCAATTCCGCCCCTGCTGCACGCACTCATTAGCACACCCCGATATTATGTTATATTTTTTTATGAATGGGATGGAGCGAGACTGGCTTCGACACCGCGCCGCGCGTTAGATATTTCGCCGTTAAAATGTATAAGGCCTAAATACAATGCAATCGCGTGTGATAAAGGGAAGGAAAAAGGAACGAGTGGGTGAGAGGGTGGAGAGGAAACGAGAGATGGGGGGAGGGGGGCGATTAGAAAAGGGAAGGAGGAGAGGAGGAGTGAGGATGAGGGAGAGCGAGCGAGCGAGAGAAAAAAAAATCACATTTCATTCATAAAGTTTGGCTTTAAAAAATCATAATGAAACCTCGAGACACGTTGATAAAAATCACAACGCCTCCATCCCTCCCTCGTTTTACTGTAGCCATGTCTTGAATGACGCGATGCTGGCCCCAAACTCGCCGTATTTCGCCTTTTTTTCCACCATACATCTTACACATTGGCTGATTTCGTGACTGTTTTTACCAATCGCTAACCACGCATTTAGTTCCGAATTGTTGCAGAGCTTCTTAATATGTTTTTATTATTATCATATTTTAATTTTGTGCGTGTAGGTTGTATGCCAGTCGTCTAAAAGCACACGTCCACATGTAGGTGGCTTAATATTTATCACATATTGGCATGGATATATCGGAAATGGGGTGTATGCTGTTGATTCAAGACTACGTAATGGTGTTTTTATTCTCGGCAGCCCTGCTAAATTGTAGAGCACCGATTGTGATAATAGTGCATGATGCTGGATTGGTGTAACATTGATGGCGGTGGCGTTCTCTCTATCCGTTTTAGTGGATGACTGAATAGTATATATGTGCAATGTTAAAAATGAAAATGTAAGGACTTACTCGCCCTCCATGGCTCGGTGTTGCCCGCCGCTTGCAGCAGCCCACCCCAGGGTCTCCTCTCTCTCTTTTTATCCTCCTTTCAGGAAACACTCACAGGCTCACTCACATTCTCTCTCTGTATCTGCTCTCATTTTCCTAATCTTTTTATCTCTTTCTCTCTCTCTTCCTCTCGCTCTCTCTCTCCACCTTGATGTCGTTTCGGTGTATCAGGATAGGCTTGAGGTTGCAGCAGCCATTTTCCGCTGGCAGCATCCTCCCTCTCTCTCCCTCCCTCCCTCCCTCTCTCTCTCTCTCTCTCTCTCTCTCTCTCTCTCTCTCCCTATCCCTCTCTCTCTCTCCCTCTCCAAATCACTCCCTCGCTTCTTTCCTTTCTCACTCTACCTGCCCTGTGCCAACACATCCGCACTAATCATTGACAGTATCGTGGCTTTAGGTGGGCTATAGGGTTTGGTAGTGTAACCATGTGATTTGAAATGACTGAAATTGAGCACTGAGGTGCTGATACATGCAGTGACGTGGGTGGCAAATGAAAAGCTGGTAAACCATCAATGACCCCCGGTTGATCCCCTGATTATCACGGGGCAAACAAATTCAGAGCAAACATAACATATAGGTAAAATAAAACTGGATTGGCCCTTCTTTGCATCTTTGTTCGGCATTTGTGTTTTAAAATTAGTTAAGTATAACTTTGTTGTGTTTTTATTGAATTATTGGCTGTGTATGTTATGTAGTTGTAAATAGCAGGGAAATAACACAAGTGTCTTATAGGATCATAGCATCGGTGCTGGCAGCGACAACAGTTTCAGCACCATGGACAGCGACACCTCTTTTAACACACTTCAACGACACAGCTGTTTCGTCGTTTGATTTGGGGCTTGTGGTCATTGGTGAAATCACATATTTGAACAAAACTGGGTCTGCAGCACTCTAGACGACTGAACAGACCTATAAACTTATTTTATGTTGGTCTGAGGTTAATAAATTGTGATAAATAATTAAATAGATAATCGATGACTCTGATATTGCATTGCTGTCGCGATACTGTAATGCTGTTAAGTGCTTCATGACTTGTCAGTAAACATTAGACTAGCTACTTTAATTTCAAGGAATACACACATTTGTAGCGGGAATTCATTGTTAATGTAAACAGAGGCTTGTAGGCAATAACTATACAGCACAAAATGTTAGTCTATGGCGTGCAGTGGGTTAAAAGATAGATAGGGCCATTCCTGTTTTTGCATCTGCAACAGCAGTTAGCAGCCCCTCTACGCAATGAGCAGCATCGGAAAAACACTGATTTTTCACATTAAACTGCTTTATTCAGTGTTTTTACCATCTTAAATCAGCGGTCCATTTGTTTTGGAGAGGAAGAGACATCTGCGGATAATTCGGCTCCCAGAAAAAAATCACCTGAACATCTGGATCTTAAGTTATCATAGAAAAAAGGGGAGTACACATTAGCACATTAGCTGTGCTAGCAGCCTGTCTGCAACAAGCCGTACATCATTTGAGAAACTTTGATTTGTAATATTAAATTGTTTTATTTGGTGTTTTTATGAGTTTAAATCACCTGGTCTAGAGGAAGAGACTTCCATGAATAATTTGGCTCCTGGTAAAAACATACTGAACTACTACTACTACTACTATGAACACTGAAAGAATTCTAACTAGGAGTTCACACTTGGCACATTAGAGAAGTTTCAGCTGGTTGCAATTGGCAGTCCTCTCCACTAGATGCCACTAAATCCTATACACTGTTCCTTTAAAGGCAAATCAAATGACACACACTGGCTAATAATAACACATTTATTACAAAAGCAAATGAGCACAATTAAATAAAAATGTTGGTAACACTTTCTATGAAGACCATCTAGTGTGTTATGAGGGCATTCATTATAAATTATAATGCATTCATAATGCTTAATAACCAAACTTGTAAACAGGTATAATGCTCTCTGATGCACTACATATACAGTCATTAAACATTATAGCTCAGACTCGTTATGAATTCTAATTTCAAGATTCATATAGGTGCTCTTCACTAGTTCTAGAGTTTGATTGATGGGGCTTATAACACATTATGACTACTTATACTCACTTATACACACCTCAACAATCAAGTGTAGTAAGGACTCATTATGTGCTATAATAGTCCATGCAGTATCATACAATATCATTGCATGCATTAAGTCAAGTGAAATACATGATGCATCTATAATAATGCATGCTTCATCATAACTCAAAAAATAGCATCACAACAGCTCTGTTTTAGTTATCTTGGTGTCTTTGGTTTTCCATCTTATGACCCTGTGTGCTGACGATGTTTTGATGTATCATATGTTTCCACAGCCATGTGACAGGGGTCAGCTAGATATGTCTCTGGACTGTTTTGGTAATTATACAGAAGTACTAAAAAACATCCAGAAGTGATGCAGCCACCCACATCCTTTCAATTATCATAACTTTTTTCAAGGAATCAATACCAAATGCGTATCTAATTATTGATACTGTCCATTCCTACTACGTACTGCTAAAACTCCAGATCCAGGTCTAGGAGCTGCTCCATGTCTTCCTGAAGTCTAGACCCTGGGAAGGTGACAATTTTAACAGAAAAATTGCTTATGTGGATGAACAATATAGTACACTTTTGCTTTATTCAACCCTGTTGTTTATGTTGTTACATTAGCACACTGACTGGTAAATCTCATAGCTTCTTTCATCAATTTGAGGATTTAAGGCCTTATATATTTCAGCACCACGAACAGCAACTAATAACACAATGGTGGTTAGAATGGTTAGAATTAACACAAGCTAACGTTTACTACAGTAAAGGTCTAGGGTGTAGGATTTAGTGGCATCTAGCAGAGAGGTTGCTGAAGTGAAATTTCTCTCATGTGGCAAGCATGTAGGAAAACTAAGGTGGCCAATGCAAAAACATGAATGGCCCTATCTAAAGCCAGTGTTTGGTTTGTTCATTCTGGGTTTGCTGTGGAACAACATGGCAGACCCGTGAATGACCACCCTCTCTGTGTGAAGATATAAACAGCTCATTCTAAGGCAACAAAAACAAGTCAATTCTTAGTTTCAGATGATTAGAGACTAATGAATAATGACTAGTTATAACTATTACAAATGGGTGGCACAGGGGTGCAGTGGTTAGCACTGTAAGCACTCCCTCTGTGTGGAGTTTGCATGTTCTTGCATGTCAGCATTCTCCAGTTTCCTCCCACAGTCCAAAGACACACATGTTAGATTCACTGGTGACCCTAAATTGGTGTGAATGTGTGCATGAATGGTTGCAATACATCCAAAACTGAGACAGTATTGCAAATCTTTAAAAATGGGCACAAATAGGCTATAGTTATACATTTTTAAAGGTTTACTGGTTTCCTAAAACAGCAGAACACTGCAGTTTTTTTATAGAATATTACTCGAACAGGACGAAACGATGCATTTGTGGGATTGACTCAAAATAAACTACAGTGGCTGGGGTTTGTGGTAATAAAGAAACATGTCATCCAGTGCAATACTGTGGTTTACTGATGTGTTTTTAATAGTTAAACACTAGAGCTCTGTGGCAGACAGAAATAAGCTTTGTCAGGCTTTGTTAGTAGGATCAGTTAATTGGTGATTTTGGTCTTTTTGTGGCATTTGTTGACAATAAGAAAACAGAGAATATTAACAGAATTGTCCTTTAAGTCTGCTAATAAAATCAAGCATTATTTCTGCAATAAACTGGAATAAAAAGGATGGGTATATTACAGTCAAAAAAGGGTTAAACAAAGGGAAAAGCATCCATCCAGTGAGGTGATAAAAAATGGGAATGCAAATTAAGCAGCAGCTAAAAGGGAAACTGAATTCAATCATGGCAAAGCAAATGCTTTAATTGGAAACCTCAGTAAAACTGCCAACACTAGTCAAGGACTAGGCCCTGCTCAACTTATTAGTCATCACATACAACCCAGCAATAGTAATGAAGCAATGCTAACAAGGATACACTGAGTTCCTGCTGTTGATGCCCCCCAAAACAGAGAACAAAGAATCCACAAGGCTGTGAACATTTCACAGGATGCTAACCCAATAAAATATATCCGATATCTTGCTTCAGCTCTAAGTGTAGCTCAACAACACACATCTCTTACAAAACCTAAAAATAAGAAGACCAGAACTGCAAAACCAATGCTTCATCAGGCTACAGCTGCAAGACCAACCACTGGGCCATGTGGCGGTGTGGAAATACCTGCAGGAGAATTAGATGCTCTGAATTCAGACATCTTACAGCAACTTCAGGATGTAGGTGAAATATTAAGCCAGGCATCAACAGGACTTTTGGTCAAATTAAGACTCCAGCATGAATTTACAAGAATACTTTATCCAAAAAATGCCTTGGTAAACTTCAGTTTTTGAAGAAAGCAACATATTGACTTATTGATTGAATCGGGACCATGTTTAACAATAGCAAAACTATATCCAAGAATATGTTTACAAACAAATTGTGAAGTATAATCCAAGATTAATTTATTGAGCCATATGTTCAGTACTCCCCAAATATGAATTTTCACTAAAACCTGATTATTTAAAACTGAACTGAAAAAGAAACCTATCTATGCTCTCCTAAGCCAGAATTCAATACTCAGGTTTTAGCGAAAATGCATGTGGTTGATAAGTACCGAGCATACACTGGATAAATGAGACTAGGAATAGTTGTGTGAGAGTTTGTAACCAAATGTTTTGCCATTGTTAAATGTGGTCCCTGATCAATAAATAAATCCATCAATATGTTTGCTGTTTTTCATGAAGGCATGCAAGAAAAAAAAATTCCTTATGAATTCAAGGTAACAACCTCATGGCTCATTAATACATATTGAAAAATACTGGGTTGTTGAAGCAGATGAATTAGTTATTGGTGAATAGTCCAGGTAGAGCAGGTGGATGCTGATGGAGAGAGGTGGTATTATATGATCCAGTCCAGTCTGAATGCTGCACAAAGTGCCTTTTTTTACATCCACCCCCAGATTTAAATTGGAAATCTGCACAATCACAGAAGGACGAGACTTTGGGCCTACCTGGGTTTAGTCTGGCAAGGCGGGGCGGTGCATAACCCTGGCCACTGGGCATATGTAGGTGTTACCTCCTACTTCCACTTTAACAGTTCTGACTCAGCTATCGGCTCCTGCCATGCACTAGGTGATTTGTCGCACAGGCCATAATGCTCGTGGTAACTGTGGGTCAACGATCGTAACAATTGTACCAG